AGGACAACCAGGAGTAGTGGTTGGGGACGGGGTGGGGTGGGGGGGAGCCCCAGCTAAGGGTGCTCCAATTCATATTTTTAGTAAGGCTCCGTGCTGGCAACAAGAACTCTACACAAACTTTGACGTCAGACTCACTTGGATTCAAATCCAGGTCCCGCTACTACCAGCCACAGGACTGTGGGCTATTTAGTTAGCTTCGCTTTCCCTTCATCTGTGGGACAGGCTGTAGGAAACCTATCTCACAGGGTCGTTGTAAGGTTTCATCCAAAGCAGCCCAATGCGCTCACACACAAAGCCTCTGGTCCCTAGCCACAGAACAGGACAGCGTGCACTCAGCCCCCAGGCCTGCCGGGCAGGACCACGAACCGGGCATGACCGGCCTGATGATGCTCACCCTGCCCACCACCCCTCGGCCTCGCACTGTCTCCAGGGTGCCGGACAAACTGAATATCCTCCAGTGTCGCTCCCGAAGCTGCACCACGTCGCTGTCGAGGTTCTCTAAGCGGATACAGTAGCGCCACTGTGGGGGGAGAGGAGAGAGTTCACATCCGAGAAAGAACAGACCTTGGGCCAGTCCCCCCAGAATTCCAAGAGAGCAAAAGGCAACAAAAAGTGACACCTGCAGCACACAGCCGTATCCCCCGGAGGCAGACTCCCCACCTCCCCCTACCCCCCACACCGGGCACAACTCCTGAGCTTCTCTCCTCCCACAGGGAAACACTCACCCAGTAGACATGGGAATTCTGGGCTTCCTGGGGGGGGAAAAAAAAAAATTAAGTCCCAGAGGGCAGGACCAAGTCCGTTTCAATCAACATCTCTCCAACTGAGTAGACGTGTTCCCGGAAGGTTACGGAGGCAGAACAATGCTGCGAATGTCTGTGGGGTGATCGCTGAACTACGGCCAACAAGCCCAAACGGAGGCCGCTTCCCCTGGACCGATCTCTGGCCTCCCTGCTCCTCATTCTATCAAGATCACCAGCGGAGCTGGATGCCAACGGAAATGAGCCACAAGGCCCTTCCCTTCTCTCCGGTCTTCCAGCTGCTGCCCCAGCCCCTACAGCCACTGCTGGCCCAGGCCACTGCCCCCCTCTGCCCTTCCGTAGCCCAACAGCGTTACGATACCCAATATGCTCTATGCTGGCCTCTCCCACTACCAGGAGCTCCTCCTGGAAGGCAGGGCCAGTGTTTCATTTCTTTTTGAGGCTCACAACCAGGCAAGAAATAACCCAATAAATATCTACTACATACAATGTGTGAAGATCAGCCTCTGCTGATTTAAACACACACATATATATTCTGCATACACACATACACGGGATGCCCTTTGAACCAGAAGAGAAGGAAAGTCAGCCTGGAGGACTCCTTCCCAGAACCTGAGTGTCTCCCTGCTCTAGGTCTTAGTGTTGATCTAATGTGTGCAGCACTTGGAAGCAGAACCCACTCTCCGTCAGTCACACGGGGGCACCACAGGCAACCGGGGCCTATCCCTGAGGGATGGGGTCCAGGCCAGGCACATACATACCCTCATGCCCATGTAGAAGGGGATGACTGTGACACGAATGTTCTCAGTTGTTTCCCGGTGGACATCAGAGAGTTCCAGCCAGGGGTGATTCTTCTCCTGCCAGGCCCGTAGCGTCTCCCGAGCCACAAAAGGGGGTGCTGGGGCAAGATATAACTGGTTGGTCCAGGCCAGAGTCCCGGGTGTTGCACTCATTCTCCAACTGCCCCTCCTAGAAAACTCTTCCCAATTCTGACCCAGCCAAATAAGGCACCCAAACATAAAACAAAAGCACGGGCTGGAAAAAGGCCCAGAGCCGCCAGGAATAAGCCCGGAGGTCTGTGACATGGTGGGAAGAGAAATGGGCTGGGAGTGAGGAGCCCAAGTTTTCAGACCCTGCTGCAACCATGACCTTGCCTCTAACTAGCAACCTTGATTCCCTTCTTATCACCTGAGCCTCAGTTTCCATATCTGTTAGGCAGAGACAACAATCATCCACCTGACTTGGTATGCTAATGGGAGGCTGAATAAGGTTGTGGGTATACAGCTTTGAAGTTACTTCTATGCTACTGTCTTTGAAGAAAGGGCCCTTCCATTACAGCTTCCTTTCTTGAGAGAGATCACCTTTTGTCTGGTCATACAGAAGAAATCTTTCAAACAGCTCATGCTGGATGGGAACCTGATCAGTGGAGGTGTAGGGGAGGATGTCTTCATGGCTGACATAATCCAAGCCTGGCACAGAGAGAGAAAAGAGACGGTGAAACTCACAGAGGAAAGGGGAGGAACAAGGCTGGGAAGAAACACAATTCCTGGCCTTGTCTCAAGGTGGGACAAGCCTGGCATCAGCACTCTCAGCCACCATAATCCCTCCCAGCAGATTAAAGGACGTCAGAAAGGCATCGGCATCTTCTCGCTGAGAGACCCCAGACCTCTCATCGACGGGCACATTCAGATGCTCACTACTCACCTGGGATGGCATAGAGGGCCCGGCTGTCATCATGGTTAGCCAAGAAAGTCACAGCTTCTGTCTGAGATCTCTGAGACTAGGGCAAGAAGCGAGTCAGAGATTTTCTTAGTCGCTATCCAGTCCTGAGAACTCAGGGCCCAGTGCTGACCTGGGCTCTATTTGACCCTTCCCCTTCCCTCTGTCCCCATCGGGCTCAGGCCTTTCCCATGGAGAGAAACCCCCAGCCCAGCCATCTTGCTTACTTACTATATGTGGACAATCTCGGGCATCAATCAGCACCTGATAGTAAGTGTGAGTTTTGCCTTTCACCTCCTTAGAGCCATGGCCAGCAGGATTCTCTGCTCTGTAGGGTAGGGTAGGGGAAGAAGCCTAAGATCACCCCAAGAAAAAGAGAAGCAGTGCCTGCCCTAGCTCCCTACCTCCTCACCTCAACAGACTAGTGCCTGACCGGAAGGGGCTTTGGCATAAGCCAGGTACCGGCACAGCAACACCCCGGCCCAGCCGGGGGTAACAAAGGAACACGGGGGACCCACTGTGCAGAGTCACCATTTGTCTTACTCTCTGGCTACTCCTTGGAAAGGGGCCATGTTGAAAAAATTCAAATTGCTGCCTCCTTCCAATCCTGGAGCCCCAGGTACCCCGCTCTTCTCGCATCCCTGGGGCTGTCTCTGATGACTTAATGGAGCTGGGCCTTTTCTGTTTTAATGTATTCCAGGGAAAAGAGATTGAAAGATTCTAACTGAATGCCAAGAAATCAAGAAAATTAGTCCCTCAAATACCTTCTGGGCTACTTATAATGCAAACAGAGAACAGCTTGGGAAAGCATCCTGGGAGGGCCTAAAGGGACCCTCTGGCATAAGACTGTCCCTGGCACTCAGCACTTTTGTCTCCATGGTGTCCAGGAAGTACTCTGGGACTGTTCCGATGGCCCAGGAGGATATTGGATTCACCCCTGGGACCCCAATTACGTATGTCGGCCATGACTCAGGCCTCCTCCTAAGGGTACCATGAGGCACAATGACAGGGGTACTTACTTCTCGGGAGCCACAGAAGCCACATCCCGGTCATAGAGTCGGGCCTGCCAGGGAAACAGGACGACACCTCGGTAGCCAAAAACACTATGAAGAAAGAGCTAGGAGGGAAGAGAGGTCTCCGTGAGCGTGCAGTCCCCAAGTCCTTGCAGGTGGGACCCAGACCGCTAAGCAGCACAGGTAGCCGCAACACCAGACGTCTTGCCAGTCTTTCTCTTAAACTCTGTGACCCACCCCCCACCAGCTTCAGGACACTCTTATCCCCCGCCCCCTCTTCACCTGGCTGACTTCTGCTGATCCTTCAGGCTGTAGCTTAAATCTCTAGGAAGACTTCCCTGACCTCCCCTCCACTTAGCACAGTGCTTGGCCACCAACCCCATCATAGTTTGTCTCTAGACTGCCAACTCCACAAAGGTATTGCTTTCTGATTCAACTCCCATACACACCCGGTCCACTGCAGGCAAACCAAAAAAAGGGGGTGGGAGGGTGGGGACGAGGAGTTGAATTAAAAAAAAAAAAAAAAAAAAAAAAAAAAAAAAAAAAAAAAGTCCTGACTTACAAGGGGTCTCAATCTATCTCAGTGGATCTGGCACAAAGCTGATACAAAAACAAGAGCCTCACACCCACAGCTTATATGACACTGCAATCAATTCAACTATGACGAAGCATCAAAAGTTTCCTTTCCTAAAAGCTCCCTCCACGGGCTTCCCACCATCCACTATATTACAGGACTCTTCAACAACCTGGCTCTTTCCTCGCTGTGGCCCACATTACCTCTGTCCATGCTAACTTGGAAAGGGAACCCAGTGACACGTGAAATGGATTTAAATCTAGGAAAACAGAAACCCCATCTTGAATTTGTGATTCCGATCTGACACTAGACACCAAGGCAGAAAACTGTTAACAGCTGGGTCTATGACCAAAGCTGATGCTTTCAGAAACAGGGCGCACCTCGAAAATGAAAGATGACCCAGCTCGGCACTCACCTGCCCAGTCTCGTATTTTCCATTCTGTTTTGGCACCTCAAACACACCAACTGTCTCCAAAACTTTGCCCTCTGGTCGGTTTCTGATTAGGATGGAAAAGAACAAGCAGCTGAAGAGCTGAGAAGGTAATGGTACCTACAGCAACAGAAAAAGCTACTAGGGTACTTACAAAGGGGCCAGGCAGAGGGGCAGGTGAAGCAGGTAAGGGTCCTGCCAAACCACCACTCCAAATTCTGCCTTTCCCTCTTTTAGGTCCTGCCTCAGTTTCTGTGTTAGGTCTGACTGCACCCAGACCCTTTCTTCTCTCTATGCCTTCCTCATATCATGCCCTCCCACCATTAGTTGTATCCCTTGCCTCTGTTTCTTCCCTGACCCACCCTCCTGACCTCCCACAGCATTTTAACCGACCTTCCCACCTTGCATTTCTGTTATTTGTGCCCGTGTCTTATCTCCACTAGAGACTGTAGGTTCCCTGGGAGCAATGCCTATGTCTGATTAGCCTGTGTTTCCCCTCAGAGCCTAGTGTATATGAGGTGCTCAAAAAATATTTGTTCTGTAATTATTCCATCTCTATCTACCCCCCTAAACTGCAGCCTTCACCCTGCCCTTGGAGGGCATCATCTCCAGATGTCCTGCCATGCTCCCTGCACTGCACTTAGTAGTCTCTAAATCTAGTTTTTGTTCGGATTTACATCAAATTTCACAGGGGTCTTAAACTGCAAATAGTGATCATCTCTCCCCAATACCAGGGTCTAATCTCAGCCACTAAAAGGTCAGTGTTCTGTGACCTCTCTGGACAGGGCTGCTCTTTCTAGGGGTCCTTCAAAGGTCTGCTATTCTTAGTATTTTGGAGATGTGAACCTTATGCTTCCTCTCACTTGATCCTCCAGCCCCAATGTGATCTGCCTGTCCCATGGCTAGAGACAATGTTCACATCACCCCCATGGCCTCCGAACCCCCTCCCCAAGTCACACAGAAAGAACCAGTTTCCCCAAGGTCAGGCTGAAACCTGGAACCCACGCAGGGCCCACACTCAGGAGTCCTGCTTCCCACTTCGAGCATCTTTCTTTGGGAGGCCTTGTCCCAATCCGGGGCTGGGGGTTCAAGTCAAAAGCCCTAGGGTTTCATTAAAGGGCTGCCCGTTAACAACAGCGCTCGGGATCTCCATTTGGGGAGGTAGGATTCGTTCCGGGAGGGTTGCTAGCTCCCCTTCATAGCCAGCCCTGCGCAACCCAGGGCTCTGGGCCGCGCTCCCTTCTCTGTTCCTGGCACACATCCCAGCCAGGGCAGGTCGGCTCCCGGCCGGGACCCTCTCCCAAGTCGAACTCCAATCACCCTCTGCCGGCCCGGCCTCCTGCCTCCTCCCTGACCGAGAACACGCTCCCTGGGTTCCACGTACGGCCCCCGCGCTCCGTCCCTCACCGGGACGAGAGGTGCCTCCGCGTCGTCGTGGTCGCCGCTGGTGGGAAGGCCCCAGCTCCACCCGCCGCACAGAGCGGCCTCGGCCCCCGGGCCCCGGTTAGCGAGCGGGACCACCAGCGGCTGCCCACGGCCAGGGCCCGTCGGGCCACACAGCCCGCCATGTCCCGCCCGAGCGCCCGCTCGGCTGCTGACTCTGGGCCCAACCCGCGGCCGGGAGGCGTTCTGCCCCCCCGCCCCACACTGCCCCGCGCCGCGTCCCCGCCCCCTTGGCCCTCTGCCCCGCCTCGTCCCGCTCCGCGAACTCCATGCTCCTTCCGGTGCGCGATGGGCGGAAGTCCCGGCCCCGGGTCACCTGACCATAAGCCGCTGGACATGGCGTCTCGCTTGGTTGCCGGCGAGCGGCTGGTGCGCGCCTTGGGCCCCGGCGGGGAGCTGGAGCCAGAACAGCTGCCCCGGAAGCTGCGGGCAGAACTTGAGACCGCGCTAGGGAAGAAGCCCAAGAGTGGTGATTTTCCCAGTGGCTCCGCGCGCCTGGTTTCTTTCCGCTTGATCCGAGATCTGCATCAGTACTTGAGAGAGAGGGGTGAGCCCCAGTCTCCAACCCGGACTCGCCTCCGTTTTTCCAGAGTCTTGTCCTTCCTGAGCC